AAACTAATAATATATTATATGTTAATTAACTGAATTTAAACTAAAAAAAATAAACAAAAAAACCAAAAAAACAAAAAAGGCCACCCATCTCCTTTTTTTTTTAATAAGCCATTTTATTTTGAACCACATGTTACAATTTCAAAATAGTTATTGAAAATTGAATAAATAAATGTATATATGTATCCCTTAAGATCTTTTACTGTACAATGAAATTTTTTAAAGATTTTATTTATTTATTTGACACACAGAGAAAGATCACAAGTATGTACAATGAAATATTTTTAAGTGGTAACTATTACATACATGGCTCTCTCTAAATTTCCAAGGGTTTCTGAACACCCATCTCCTTTTTTGTGGTGTGGTGTGATCCTATACATCCACGTCTCCTGAATAGAAGCTGGGCTCATAGGAAGTGTAAGTTAAGATACCTGGGGATGATTAGTTGACCAATGAGGATGGCTGGCTGTCGAGATCAACAATTTTCATCACTTTTTAAAAAAAGACTGATTGATTGATTTTAGCGAGAAAGCGCACGAGTGGGAGGAGGGGCAGAGGGAGAGGGAGACGTGCAGACTCCCCGCTAAGCAGGAAGCCTGATTGGGGGCTTGATCCTGGCATCCTGAGATCAAGATCTGAGCCCAAATCAAGAGTCGGACATATAACTAACTGAGCCACCCAGGTGCCCCAGTAATTTCCATCACTTTCTATACTCCTACCTCAACCTTCGGTATTTTGATATTCCTAATCATGGGGGTAGGAGGAATTGTTTTACAAAGTGTGTAGGGTGACAGGTAACCATACAGAAAAGTTAATACTAAATCCAGAGTAGTGAATTTATAAGGGTGGAAATTCAGAGAGTGAGTCATTTGAATGGGAAGTATGTTTGCACAAGAGAGCTGTTAATGCTCGTTCGGTCACTGCCCAAAAAGGCAGTCTGTTTGTTGTTTGCAAAATCCAGTCCTGAGCATTCACAAAAATAAACTGTCATTGCCATTCTTATTTTCATACCACAACTGTATCACAAAAAGGCATTTTTTTTTCCTGTGGAAGTAGACAATTTTTGCTGCAGAAGAATGAGACTTGGCATAAATTCATAAAGACAGCTAGGTAATACTGTATGTGCTCTTAGGAGTTCAGGGCAACCTGTTTGCAATGAAAGGAATGTGGCTTCCCTTGTGTCATTGTTGTAAATGTAGAAAATAATGTTTTTTATTAAAAATAATTTATTATTAAAAATAATAATTATTTTATTTTATTTTAAACTCTAAACATACATTTTAACTTTATTGAGATATAATGTATACATAAAATGCATTCTTTTAAATGTAGAATTTGATGAATTAAGAAAAAAACACTATCCACATTGTGGTAACCACTATCCACATGAGATATAGAATATTTCCATCCCTAGCCCCAAATTCCCTAGTATCTTTTCCCAGCTAGTTTCCTCCACCTCCTGGACCTACATAATCCATGTGATTTTTATCACTACAGGTGAATTTCACATAAATATCATACATTATGTACAGTTGACACTTGAACAACATGGGTTTGAACTGCAGGGGTCCACTTATATGTGGATATTTTTAAAAAAATAATAATAACTAAGGAACCATAAGACCAGGTTCTAGTTCTGGTTCTGGCACTTTACTGGCCTTGAGGCTAATCAAACCACCTAATCTCCTGTAACTCTGGTTTTACATCCATAGATAAATAGTTGACTTTCTTACTTCATGAGGTTGTGAAAAAATATATGTAAAAGGCTTTATAAATCACACATGGCTATGCAAGTCCTAGAATCTCCACACTGGAAGGGTCTTTAGAGACAATTAGCACTACTACTTATTTTATATGTAAGAAAAATGAGGATCAGAAAGGTTAAGTGACTTGATCTAGATTGGGGATTCTTACTCCAGGCTGCCTATTACAATTACCTGGAAAGCTTTTTAAAATATTACCACCTGGTCTTCAATTAAGAATATTAAGTCAGGGCACCTGGGTTAAGCCTCTGCCTCGTTCAGGTCATGATTTCAGGGTCCTGGGATTGAGCCCTGCATCAGGCTCTCTGCTCAGCAGGGAGCCTGCTTTGCCCCCTCTCTCTGCCTGCCTCTCTGCCTGCCTCTCTGCCTACTTGTGATCTCTCTCTGTCAAATAAATAGATAAAATCTTAAAAAAAAAAAAAATTAAGTCAGAAGGTATGGGGCTGTGGTCCACCAAGTGATTCTGATGTGTAGGCAGAATTGAAAACCATTCCAGATCAAGTAACTTATCAACAGTGGAACCAGAAACTAGCTTGCCTCCCGTTTCCCATCCAGAGATCACTCCGCCACATCAGGATGATACCTAATAGCCACAAGGCTGCAGGAGTGAGTGAGAGGAATCCGTGATGCCCAGTGGGGAGTAAGCATCAGGATTCCCTGTATAGCAGTCCAGCTGCTTGGGTAGGAAGTATGAGTCATCTGTGTCTAATGGCTCTGTCATTCTGTCTGAGGCAGGATAAGACTTAGTTTTCTGACATTACTTACCTAACGACCAAATATTCCTAGACTCATAGCCACACCAGCAGTCTCAGAATCAATCAGTAGAAACGTTTACATTTACTAATGTAGCAAAAAACTCCTGTCATTGAGAAGTGACTATGAATTCAAGAGTTCCTTCAAGACGAGAAGAGGGGGCACCTGGGTGGCTCAGTGGGTTAAGCCGCTGCCTTCGGCTCAGGTCATGATCTCAGGGTCCTGGGATCGAGTCCCGCATCGGGTTCTCTGCTCAGCAGGGAACCTGCTTCCCTCTCTCTCTCTCTCTCTCTCTGCCTGCCTCTCCATCTACTTGTGATCTCTCTCTGTCAAATAAATAAATAAATAAAATCTTTAAAAAAAAAAAAAAAGAGAAGAGGTAGAGGTTTCTGTGGTAAGTTTTAAAAGAGGATTTTAAATATTGTGAAAACTCTCAGCAGGGTAGTGTTTCTCAGTCTAGAGGATTTGTTAGAAGTACATGAATCCCTATGGTAATTCTTATTTTTTTTTTTTAAGATTTTATTTGTCAGAGAGAGAGAGAGGGAGAGAGAGCAAGCACAGGCAGACAGAATGGCAGGCAGAGGCAGAGGGAGAAGCAGGCTCCCTGATGAGCAAGGAGCCCGATGTGGGACTCGATCCCAGGACACTGGGATCATGACCTGAGCCGAAGGCAGCTGCTTAACCAACTGAGCCACACAGGCGTCCCGGTAATTCTTAATTTTAAAGATTTTATTTATTTATTTGAGAGAGCGAGAATGAGAGAGAGAGCATGAGAGAGAGAGCATGAAAGTGGGGAGGGTCAGAGGGAGAAGCAGACTCCCCGCTGAGCAGGGAGCCTGATGCAGGAATCTATACTGGGACTCCAGGATCATGACCTGAACTAAAGGCAGTTGCCCAACCAACTGAGCCACTCAGGTGCTCCCTATGGTAATTTTTAAAACTGTTTAGGATAATAATTATAATAAAAAACTAAGTCTACTTAGATAATTTGTATGAATATCTTACACCCAAGAATCCTCCTAATTGTAGTGCCTGCATTTGCCTTTGGCTTCCCTATCACATAGGTGTTAAACCATATGACTAACTGACATGGCTGATGAGAAAAGACCAGAGGCAACGTGATATATAAATGAGGCTTAAGTACAGAGTGAGGGCCAAATGATGTCACAGTCAGCTATTCAAAAGCAGAAAATGCAGTAGTTCCAATAAAGAAAAAGAGTGGGAGAAGTGAGTCATCACTGGGCACACTAAGCAGAGACATGATAAGCTCAAAAATACTTAACTACAGAAACCAGTACCATATTCATGCTGTAGACTATTATAGCAAAATGATATAATCTATCACAAGTTTAAGAAACTTTTTAATAAAAAGGGACTTCCAAGGGTAAAATGTTAATTCCTAGCATGTACCTATGATTTATGAATTGTGGAAAGTACTGAGCAGGTGAAAAGCAGATGGTCTGGTGACTCCAGGGGTGGAAAGTGAACAAGGAAAAAACCTTTAAGGAAAAAAAAAAAAAACCCAACGACTATAAAGTAGAGGCAATCTGAGATGTACTGATCTAAGTGAAGGAACTAAAACACAGTTTTTGAAGCACCTGCAACAAAGGTCTAGGATACCAGAAAACAGATTACGGAGAAGGGAGGAGAGGAGGAGCTACGAGGAATGGTGAGCAGAGCTAAGTGAGACAAAAAGAGAGAAGAAACTGCCTTTTATTACTCAGGCACTGAGGCTTACTGTAATGGACAGTGGAGGCTGAAGGGATTTGTAGTTCTGTTTAACAGTAATGGTGGATGTCTGAGGATTCACACTTTCCTCAGTGAATCATTGCAAGACTGTTCCCTTAAGTGTGGCCATGGACATCTGGAGATGGCTGATCATTGGACTTCAAGGGTGTCAGTCATTAATAGTCTTGAAATTGGTGGTTAAACTGGGTTTATAACTCAGAAGACAGAATTGTGGGGAAGACTACTAAGTCCAGGAAGTTGGAATGAAAAATATTTCTTTTGGGGGGCGGGGTGGCAACTGATGGATAAAACTGTGTTCAAACAAAAGTACACCATAACTTTCGTGGGTTTTAGGCTGCTTGCTCATTCCTTTATCTTTAGGGGAAGTTATCCTTCATTGCATCAGAATACTAACATATAACTAAATGGTCAACACACCAGAGGTCTCAAATTTTCTATGTGGAGTCACAAAGACCTGAAATCACTTGGGAGGATAACAGGGGAAGATTGAGGGCATTTGAATTTCTGAGACTAGATGAGGACCAAAGAAGGAGAGGCTGTCAGCTGTCCAACTCTGTCCCTGGGGATTTGTGGCAAACAAGAGTTGTGGGAGAAAGCACATAGCATATTGTAGAAGGAACATGAGGACAAAAGCTAGCTTGGAGAACTTCAGATTTCTTAAAAAGTAGTTTTATCATAAAAAAATAGGTACCTTTCCATTTGAACATAAAGTTACAGATAAACTTAAGAATTACCCACCTTACTCCAAGCATAATTCCAAGTCACATAACTGTCGCCTCCTAGAAGATCCTTGAGCCAGGTGACTGGATTTTGATAAATCTGACCGTTTTCTACCTTAATTTTACCACTCACTAAAACACTGGCTTTGTGGATAGTCTCCTGAAATTCAAAATAAAACAAAAATTAAGAAGGAAAAATACCTGAAATATGGGAACTTCTGCTTTTGGTCATGATGAAGTAATAGGAACCAGACTTACCCTAACCAACAAAAAACATACAACATATATGGAGCAATGGTTTACAGCCAAACATCAGCCAACAAAGCACAGTGATGCCTGAGAAGTGAGAAATTAATGAGGTGAGCCTTCCAAGTGTCCCAGCTCACTGCCTTGGGAGTTTCCAGGTCATGGTGCAGGGAGAGGGAATCCAGGCAAAGCCTATGGACTCCCTGAGTTGAGGAGAAAGAGCAGAATCCACGGAGGCAAAGGGCCTAGAGTTTCCAGGACAGAATACTGAAGAAGAAAGAAATACGAAGAGAACTTTGCAGATCTTCAGGGGGTCCTCTTTAAGTATTCACCTGAGTAGTGGTTGGCCATATTTGAGGGCAAATTACCCAGGGCTGGGAAAAGAACCACCAGAGAAGAGTAGAAGTAATGACACCTGGCATTCTCGAAGGTCAGAAATAGTACCTGTTCCCAAGAGCAAGACTAGAAAACTTCAAAACTCATGGGGCATTGGCTGGGTACAGAATAGCCTTACCTCGGGAGTGGGAAATAATTAGCCCTAGATTGAACACATGCTCCAATCCTGCTTACCAAATCTTAAAAGCGAGACCCACAAGGATCAAATTATTTCCAAGGAACTTAACTGTATCTTAGAACAAATCTACAGAATATTTATAAGAATACAAAAATATCCAGCATCCAACCAGATAGATTTCACAATGTGTGGGATTCAATAAAAAATTAATAGGCCTGGAAAGAAGTAGGAAAATACAACCCAGACAGAAGAGATAGAGCAATGAACTGAAAATGACTGAGAACTGGTAAGAATGTTAGCATTAGCAGATAAAGACATAAAGTAGTTATTACAATAATATTCCACATGTTCAAAAGTTATGTGGAGACATGGAAAATATTTTTAGAAAGACCAAAATCAAAATTCTAGAGATGAAAATTACAATGTATGAGACGAAGAATACACTGGATAGGATTAGTTAGAGATTAGACATTTCAATCAAAAAGATTAGTAAATTCAAAGACAATGCAGTAAGTATTGCATAAAAATGAAGCACAGAGAAAAGAGAATTTTAAAAAATGAACAAATCATCAGTGAATTGTGAAATGATTTCAAGCAACCCAATACATGTGAAATAAGAGGTTCAAAAAGGAAAGAAGGGAAGAAAAAACATTTGAAGAAATAATGGCTTAAATTTTTCCACATCTGAGATTCAAATGTGGAACCCAGAGATTCAAGAAATTTAATAACCCCTAAGCATAAGAAACATGAAAAAAAGTCAGCTAATGCTCCTCATAATCAAAATTGCTTAAAACCAGATAAAATCTTAAAAGCAGCCAGAAGGAGAAAAAAAAAAAAAAGATTCATTACTTACAGAGGAACGAGGTTAAGAACAACAGTGTATTTAAACAGTGCAAGCAAGTAAACAGTAGAGCAACATCTTTAAATTACTCAAAGGAAAAAACTCTTTCAACACAGAAGTCTACTGGGGCATCTGGGTGGCTCAGTGGGTTAAGCCTCTGCCTTCAGCTCAAGTCATGATCTCAGAGTCCTGGGATCGAGCCCTCGATCGGGCTCTCTGCTCAGCAGGGAGGCTGCTTCCCCCTCTCTGCCTGCCTCTGCCTACTTGTGATCTCTCTCTGTCAAATAAATAAATAAAATCTTAAAAAAAACAACAACAACATAGAAGTCTATTATCTAGCAAGAATATCTTTCAAAAGTGAAGGTGAAATAAACTTTTTTTCAGACATCCAAAAGTCAAAAGGAGTCATTATCAACAGAAGACCTTCAATACATGAAATGTTAAAGACAGTCCTCCAGGCAGAAGAAAAATGACAGCAATTGGCAATCAGGATCTACATAAAGGAAACAAAAGCAGAAATAGTAACTACATGAGAAAAATATTTTCTTACTATTTAAATCTACTTAAAAGATAATTGACTGCTTAAACAAAAATAATAATCAAGTGTGGAATTTATAACATTAGATAAAGGTAAAATATATGATAACACAAAGGTCAGAAGTAGAGAAATGGAAGCATTCTAGCTTGAGGTTTTTACAGTATACATGATGTGGTACAATAATACTTACAGGTAGACGGGGAGAAGTTAAAAATATGTACTATAAACTCTAAAGCCAAAACGGAAGTAAAAAGAATTGTAGCTAATAAACCAACAAAGGAGCTAAAGCATAAAAAATGAAAAAGGGAACAAAGAAGAGATGAGAGAAAAAGAAAACAGATGCCATGTGACAGATTTAAACATAACTATATCAAAAGTCTCACTGAATGTAATATTCTTTTTAAAAAGAAATTTATTTGAGGGGCACCTGGGTGGCTCAGTGGGTTAAAGCCTCTGCCTTCGGCTCGGGTCATGATCCAGGGGTCCTGGGATTGAGCCCCGCATCGGGCTCTCTGCTTGGCGGGGAGCCTGCTTCCTCCTCGCTCTCTCTCTGCCTGCCTCTCTGCCTACTTGTGATCTCTGTCAAATAAATAAATAAAATCTTTAAAAAAAAAAGAAATTTATTTGAGAGAGAGAGAGAGAGAGAGCATGAGAGCACATGAGTGGGGGGAGGGGCAGAAAGAGAAGCAGGCCTCCCTGTTGAGCAGGGAGCCTGATGCGGGACTTGATCCCAGGACCCTGAGATCATGATCTGAGCTAAAGTCAGATGCTTAACTGAATAAGCCACCCAGGCACCCCTGAATATAAATATTCTAGAATCAACTTCTGGAATGACAATGTGAGGATCCAGTCCCAGGTGAAAAGTATTTTTAAAAATTGTTTATGGGGAGCCTGGATGGCTCAGTGGGTTAAAGCCTCTGCCTTCGGCTCAGGTCATGATCCCAGGGTCCTGGGATCGAGCCCCACATCGGGCTCTCTGCTCTGCGGGGAGCCTGCTTCCTCCTCTCTCTCTCTGCCTGCCTCTCTGCCTACTTGTGATCTCTGTCAAATAAATAAAAAATCTTAAAAAAAATTGTTTAAATCTGGAAATGGTCATAAATGCAGGCAGCAAATAAAGAGCCCTCTATTCAGTAAAATCTATGACAATTACATGGCGGGGGGGAAGGTGAGTCTGTGCAAGTGTGCCAAGATTGCCTTCTTCCTCTCCCTTCCCAGCTCGGTGAGATGCAGATTCCACTCCAAACTGTGCAGCCAAGAACACAGGGCTCCCTCTCCCAATAGCCTCCAACCACAGGGCTACCTTCTTGTTAGGGCAAGGATATCAGCATTCTCATCTTGCCCTCAGCTATCTCTTGCTAAGGCTAAGTTGTGAGTGAATGCAGCCAAGAGGTGGGGAATCCCTTCCGCTTAGCCTGTACTGGTGGGGCAGAGACTCCACCTTTGGCATGGTGGCACTGAGATTAGTAGGACCCTGATCACCCCTGCCTGGCTTATAAGGTAGTGGCTTAATGTCAGGAGAGACAAGCTGTAAAGGCATGAGGCTAATGTGCCCACCTTGGCTAAATCCTCAGTTCCTAAAGCCAGGGTGTCATTCAGAGAAAAGTTATGTTCCCACCCTAGATCCAGACCTATGGCATGGAGATTTTTGTCTGGGAAAAGAAGCAAGCCTAAAACAGATGGTTCCTAATCTCCTCCAAAGGAAATGATTTCATTTACAACAGAACATGGAGAAGTTCAAGCTCAAGGGCACTTTAAAGGCAGTATAGGTAGTGGTAAAAAGCAGTTGAAAGTAAATTGGTAGAGTCACTGGGGATACAGGCTGATTGCAGGCTGGCTAGTTTTTAGAAGAGAACTGGGAAAATAAATAGTAAGGAAGAGCATTCCTAGAGTCAGAATAAAACTCAAACACTGACTTCATAAACTATCCCTTCAAAGGAGCATACAATTGACTAGATTAGTCTATACAGCAATTTATGCTCTAGGTCATCACTGAAAACAATATAATAATTAATCAGCAATAACTGGAGCTTAACAGCTAGGTATGCACAGGGAAAGAGAGAGTCAAAGAGAGACCTGCCAAGGTCTCAGTCCATGTGGTATAGTATCAAAAGTTTAACACTACAGTAAGGAAAAATAACCTCCACTAAAACATTCTAGCCAGTAGCTAAATAAGGAAGCAAATAACAATAACAAGCCTAAGAGAAGATGGGAGCCAGTACACAGAGTTGCTACATCTTTCAAACTATCTATAACGTCCAGTCCAACCCAAAATTGACACATATGGAAAAACAGTAGAGTATGACACATACACCAAAACAAATAAAGCAACAGAAAACATCTGTGAGAATGACTAAATGTTGGATTTAACAAAGACTTCTAATCAGTCATTATAAAAATGTTAACAGAATGAAAGAAACCATAATCTAAAAAGTACAGGAAGGTATGATGACAACAGCATATCAAATAGAGAATATCAATAAAGAGACAGAAGTTATAAAAAAGAACCAAACAGAAGTTATGGACTTGAAAAGTACAATAACTGATATGAAAAATTTACTAGAGGGGTTCAACAGATTCATGATGCAGAAGAAAGAATTAATAAACCTGAAGAGATCAATAGAGAGTATGAAGGCTGAATAAAACAAAGAAAAAAGGATGAAGAAAAATGAAAAAACCTCCAAGAAATGTGGGACACCATTAAAAACACTAACATATGCATAATGGGAGTACTAGAAGGACAAGAGAGAGAAAAAGGAACAGAAAACATACTTGAAAAAATAATGGCTGAAAACTTCCCAAATTTACTGAAAAACATTTATCTGCGTTTTCAGGAGGCTCAGTGGCTTCCAATTAGGATAAACATGAAAAAATTCATAAATAGAAACATGCTGAAAGTCAAAGACAATGAGAAAATATTAAAAGGAACAAGAGAAAAATGACTCTTCACTTACAAGGTAACCCCAAGAAGATTATTAGCTGTCCTCTTATCGGAAAAAATGGAGGCCAGAAGCAGTGGAATAA